GCATGTAAATAGTGCCGCCATCAGTCCTATTAAAGAACATGTTGCATTGGGAGGTGGTCAAGATGCTATGGAAGTAACAACCACATCCTCAAGACAGGGTATGTTTGAAACTAGATTCTTCCACTTGGTCTATGAAGAAGAATTCGGTCGTGTGAAGGGACATTTCGGTCCAGTAAACAGCTTGAAGTTCCATCCTGATGGAAAGAGTTTTGCTACAGGAGGAGAAGATGGTTTTGTTCGAGTTCAAAATTTTGATTATACATATTTAGATTATGCTTTTGAATAAACTTGAGAATTTTCATATTTGTAATTTGTCCAATTTATACAATGTTCAAGATGATGAAAATAAAGTATAATTATACTGTAATTTATGATTTGATTATGGTGTAAATTATATGCTAGCATTCTTTATACATTACTTAAAACCAAATTTATTCAGAGTCATTAATTTACTGTTTACATGTAATTGAGAATAATTTAATTAAAAACTTAATCACCCTAGACTCTGTATTATAGCAATTTCATTGTGTCCTTTATATATATATATATATATATATATATATGTATACCAGCAATCGATACATTTTTAATTTTATATATGTATACAGTCAAGTACTTCAAGTGTTATGTAATATTATATTCAAACAATGTGAAAGCTTGATTCTGAAAATGGTATAAACTATTATAAATTTGAAAATTATAAGCAATATAGACAATATGTGAGTATTGAGTATATATAGACAATATATGAGTACAGTGTTCCAACTTGGACACTTTATCAGATGATATAAGGAAAATGTATCATATGGCATGTCAGAAACTTTTGAGTTTATAGATGCTTTTAAAAAAAAGCAAAAAATTAGCGAAGTAAAACTGTGCTAGACTGTCACATTAGTATAGAACAAAATTTTGTGGAGTAGAATTTCATTTATAGAAATAATCGTTTACCTTAACTAAAATGTTTGTACTCTTCTGGGATTCTTTATAGCCTGCTAAAACCATCACCAATATATGACCCAATACAAATAGCGCACATCGAAAAGTACTTATATAAGGAATGCTAATACATATTTCATTAACCATAATTATTATTTGTATTTTAAAAGCCATGTGCTAGTTTTAGATCTATTTATGGCACAAGCTTATATAAGCCACAACAGGCACGACTGGTAATTGGAGTTTTGGAGCATTTGGAGGTGACGCCATTCTACATAGTAAAACGAAATTCAGCTTACGTTTTTAGAGATCAATTATATAAAACTAGTTTTATATAATATTTTATTTATTATTTTAGAAGAGCTAAGAAATATCTTTGTGTTTTTATATGTGCAATAGAAATGCAACCTTAATGCAAGTCCAAAAAACGCATAAAGAATACTTCTACTTCTCATATGAAGCAAATAAAAAATTCTGGAGAAAATACGTATTTCTTGTAGAATATATAAAAAATTAAATGTACAAACTGTATACAATTTGATTTTTTTTTTTTGTGAAAAGAATATTTACTTTAGTGATAAGAAATAAATAAATCAGGAAATGTCGATAAAATTTTCTATAGTGATAATATACATTTGAATTCAATGTGAAAGGAAAACGTCCTAAGCAATTGAGAAGTTGTGACAAAAGTAACTAGAAAAATTATATTAATTATATGTAAGTTGACAATAGTGCATAAAACATTGTAGATTTGAATGTATACGGTAAAAAGCAAAAATATATAAATAGTCTTTGGATTGCAATTTCAAACCAAATCCATCAATTTGGCGAATATAAGTGAATTTTACAAAGTTTAAATT